TACATTAAAAAAATATAAAAATAATATTGAAATCCTTTAAATGCACCATTTTATGAATCGCTAAAAGCTGCAGATCTTGCTCGGTTTCTGCCGACAATCTGATGTCAAGTCATGTTAGCAGATTCTGCTCGATTTCTGCTATCAATCTGCTATCAGATTCTGTAAGCAGGCTTTGCTAGCAGATCGTAAGCCTAATGCGGACACAACAGATACCAATTTGCTCGCAACTTTTGAGTATATCTGTTGCCAATCCGCTGGCATATTGCGCGCATTTTGCTTACTGGGTATATTACAATGTGTTGTCTTTCAGTAAGAGCCCCATACAGCACTGAAAGATTGCAAAAACATTGCATAAACCTTACATTGAAACGTTGTAATATCGCGTGGTAGTTGCGAAATATTTCTGCAGTGTTACTGCAGCCCAAACAGAACATAAACTCCATTAGACGTCTATTAGATGTCAACAGCTCCATGCGACATCTAATAGATATCTAATGGATGTCTGGATAGATGGATGTCTGTGTAGGAGGTTACGGCAACGTTGAAATGTCCGCCTTCAAAAATATTGCAATGTAAGATTACAGTAATATTACCGTGCAATGTATTTGTAATATTAAAACGCAATGTATTTGTAATATTGAAACGCATTGCAAATATGCAAATTGCTTCAAATTTAATAGATAAACTTTGACACCAGAACGAAATACTCCAATGGACATCTATTAGACATCCATGATGGAAATTGGAAACATCTAATGGACGTCCACGTTACTTCTAATGGATATCCATTATATATCTAGAGTTCACTTTTCAAACATCCATAGGAAGTCTAATCCCAGCAAACACAGAATATAACTGCTATATAACATAGAAGTAACAGCGTGATATACGCCCTTACAAAAAAGAACTATTGCCGATTACATATAAATAAAGTCAGTAATATAAATATTACTGACAATCACATAAGATTATTATTAGGTATTACAGGAATCACTGAGAATATTACTGGCAATTACACAGAATGCCAGTAATTTTTTCATACCACTGCCGCAATATATTACTGCCAGTAGTTCTTTTTCGTAAGGATATAATTTCTAAAATATATACAGTTTCTAAAATATACAAAAAGTATATTTCTAAATTAATTATTTAATATGTATAAAGTATATTTCTAAATTAAGTGTATATTTATTATTTTTGTTATTTGTAAAATTAAAGCACTGAACTCATGAAAAGAAAAATTTAACTTTTAACTTTTTAATTGCTTTTTATTAACTTAACTTTTAATCAATTAATTTTATTATAAGGTAACTTGTATCTTGACTAAATTACATTTTCAAGGTCTTTAACTTCAATTTAACTTAGTTAAAAAAAGAACTAAACTTACCCAACCTTGTAGTATGCACCTTCTGTGTAATGTGCTGTACCTGCAACATAAAAATAAGTATTAGATTGGTATTTTAACACTGACTGCGATTGTATTTAGCTAAATACAAGCTTTAGCTGTATTTAGCTAAACTATCTATTTGACATACATTTTACTTTATAAATTGACCACTTACCTGTATATTACAACATCTTTACATATAGTGACAGCTGTGCAAAGTCCTGGGTAGTTGACAGCTTCTGTAACAGAAAAATAATTATTAAAGTACTTTTATCTAACTGACATTAATCTAAATAACTTATTTATTTGTATATTTATACCTCACTTTGCTAGTGCATTGAGTGCGTATACCTGACAGCTGCAAACCTCACCACTAAAAATAAAGAAAAATACACATTAAAGAATCAAAGTTTTTACTCAGTTAGGTTCTTATGCACGCAGAGATCCAAGAAACACATTATTTATACTTATCTGACTGTTATTTCTCCAAGTCAGCATACCAAATCTTCACTTGTCTCCAGCACATAACCTGCACACAGAGTGTCAACATAGAAGACAATTATTCTGTTTCAACACATTGACACGTTAAAATTCTGTGATAAGCAGGATCGCACAATCGTGCTGATCCTGTTTATACATACTTTGCCAAAATTTACTTAACCTTTACCTGAGATTTTTCCAAAAAGATTGGTGCTGGTGACAGCTGTGTGTCATCTTCTCTGGCGCAATGTTCATAATGGTTTTATATAAACTCGGTCACATTCATCATGGAGATAAATGTCGCATGGATTATATAAATATTTTTTATGCGATAATAAACGGTCAGTTATTTAAATAAAAAAAAACACAGCAAACATTTTTTTTTATTCATTCCCAGCAAACAATTCCTGACTGCGCAGATCTTGGCAACAGAAACTGTGTGCAGAAACGCTACAATACGGAAACATGCTTTGGTGCTATCAAAACTATTAATACATAGAGACAAAAAAACGCAACAACTCTGTTGGCAAATACATGAGGGTATTGCGGCCAAAATGATTCCATATATGTTAGTGAAATTGACAACAAATAGATGGTCGATAGCAAGCAGATCTGCTTTTAGTAATACTGTGACCAAACATTCCGCAAAACGTACGAACATCTGTTTATGACAAAACGGTGACCGCAGTCGGGTCGAACATCTGTTGAACGTATTGACGACAGATTGCCAGCAAACGCCAAGCAGATCTGTTCGTGCATACGTGCGGATTGTTTGCACGCAAGACTACTAGACTGTCTGTTTAACATCTAGACAACAAAATGGCGATTATCTGCGATCATATCTGTTGTCTGTGTTGATAACAAACATTGAACAGTCTTTTAGTTAGACCTTGTTTATGCGGGTAATAACTGTTAACTTATGCCGGAACCGGTAAAATTCAACTGAGATTTTAATACTTCTGTTTATACGCATTCGGCAATAAAGCAATCATAAATGTAATGTATTATTCTTTTATTTATTTATTGAGTAATATGAAACAATGGGTGCTTTCCACGTACAGTCGACACTGTGTAACACAATGTCCACTAGTGTGAATGAGATACACTGATATGCTCTTTCTCACGCTAATAGACAGTATGTTATACATTTAACTTTAATTTTCTCGGAAATTTGACATGGTAAGTCAATTTCGCCGCCGGATTCGTTTTCAGTGACCAAAAATTCATTAAAAAACACTTTATTTATTCAAGTATCAGCATATATTAACAAAACATTTGTTTGCGTTGTAAAAATGTACTTTAAATTATGCTCGTATTTAAGAATAATAAGAAAAGTAGTTTTATTTATTGTTGCAGGTACATTGCATTGCAACATTTTTAGTAAAATATTAATTTAAATAAATAATGAATAAAATGTAGGATAGCTTGAGAATAAGTAGATAAAAATAATAATATCCCATAAAGCACTGAAAGATTGCAAAAGCATTGCATAAACCCTACATTGAAACATTGTAATCCCAGCAAGCAAGCTTACGTGATAATGACGTGATTATGAAGTGATTTTGATGACTACGACGTTAAGTAACATAAATAGTATGTTATTTTGACGTCATTTACAATACCAAAAGTTGACGTCGCCGATATGACGTCATTTAGATGTCGCGTTGACGTCATATATCAACTTATATATATTGAATTTCAATATGATATCAATAAAACGAGTAAATGAAGTTCTAACAACAACCTTGAGTTAAATTCAACCGTTAATTATAATAATATGTTTATTGATAACATTTGTTTTTTTGAATAATATTATATCTTTAAATACATTGTTTATAGATAAGTATAGCCATTTATTTATAGATAAGTAGCCACGTACACTTTGGTAAACTGATTACCTTTTATATATTACATTTATTAAAAATAACATAATATAT